CTGACACAGCTTATCTTCTGTGTGTGTGTGTGTGTGTGTGTGTGTGTGTGTGTGTAGAGGCAGTTCCTTCTTTCCCGCTCAGAGCCGACAGAGTTCAGACTCCTGATGTCTCTGCACAGTACCAGCCACCTCCTTCCCTGTCTGCTGCTCCCCCAAACAGCAGGAGCCGAGCAGTGAGAACAGGCAAGGAGAACATCTGTCTGCCAGGAGGAGGAGCGGCAGGAGGAGTAAGGGGAGGAGAAGGAGGAGTAGGAGGAGACCCATATGAGGCGTTTGCCAGGACGGAGAAGAGCAGGAGAGACAAGAGGAGGCCAGAGTGGAACACACAGAGGTAGAAACACACAGCTTTAGATGATCACTCTGATGGGAGCCTCCTGGATGTTGTTTCACAGTGTTCGTTCTCAATAACAAGACACACAAGTCTTGTGTTTCTCTGTATTTATTGGTGGTTGAACATCCAGATTACAGGAGCCACCACATACTGGACTAAAGAGTTTGTACTACAACTTTTTTTTAGCTTTTGTTGACAGCTGTAGAGTGACAGGAGAGAGGATGACACACAGTTAGTTAAGTGACTATATATTTGACATGATGCCTTCCAAAGGTCTGTGACTAGTACTATGTGAACATGTAATGAACAGTTTGTATCAGTAGACGTTGGTGGAAAGTAACTATACATATATAAAGATCTTTTAAAATATATGATGCTCTATTTAAGACTAAACTACCCAACAGTATAAACAAAGTATAGAAAATTTAGCACAACCTCGACCAACTACAGCAATGATTTGTGTATTCTAGTATAACATCAACTCTCTATCTACTACTTAAGACTAAAACTGACTGTTGTTCAAATACAGAAAAATCCTTTATGTCCAAATTCAGGCTCAGCTGATTAAAACATTTCTATTTGTTGTTAATGGGTAGCCCTGATTCATCTGTGTTCTCTATTAAGTTCATATTATTCTTTAAAAACTTCTTTCTAGAACCACAAATGTAATTCACTGAACGTAACAAATATATTTCTTTATTCGATGCTCTCAAGTTTAAGGTTCCCAGTTTAGAAACGCAGCATGTTTCCCACAACCTCCATGTTGTTTTCAAGAAGTGAGTATTTACTCAGATGGTCTCGGACCTTGTTTCTCCAGGCCCAGTCGTCAGTTCGTTCCAGCCTCTGAGCGTTACCCAGCCTCTCTGCAGAGGAACAGACAGGAGAGTCGAATGAAAAGGCAGGCCGAGCTCCTCGCTCTGCAGGAGAAAGCCTGTCTGTCTAAGACCAACCCTCCACCTCAGCACCAGGAGCCACGTCTCTACTCCAACCCCACACAGACCAGAACCAGTCCCACCAGGAAGGTAGGAGGCCTCCTGATAGCTGGTCACACTGTAGACCTCCATACTGAATTCTGAAAAGCTGCTTTTGTCGTCTTTTTGATTCACAAATCTTTTTCTATTCCTTCCTGACAAACATTGAGCAGCTTCTTTCTGCTGGCTGGTGATCATTTGGTGGTTGTGTGTTGACTGTTGCAGGTGGAGAGCGTTTCCAGAGGACACAACATCTCTGCAGCTGTCAGCAGTGAAAGGTGAGCAGCTCCGACTGCAGTTAGCCCCCCATTAGCTTTAAAACAGACAGAGGAGGAGTTTCATCTCAGCCTGGTTGACCTTGTTACAGTAAGTTAATAAAGGCTGAGTCTCTCAGAGAAAATAGGATAAAAAAATTAAATTAAAGTTCAGGTGTGGAATTACATGTTTTCTGAACAACAAGGACCAGGTTTGACTTATAAACTGGTTAAACCTTGATTGTGATCCTCATCTTTAATGGGCAAACATTGCCTTAATACTATTTTATTGCTCTGTTATTTCATAATAATTGATTTCCTAGAAAACGAAGTTCTGAAATAACGGCTCCATTTCAACCAAAGTAAATAATTATTTATTCATGGGAAACTTTGTTCTTCGTGTATGTTGAATTTCACATTTTTGTTCAGCTGTCCACTGACAGACTAGGCTCCTTCGAGATGATCGCTGCACAGTGCACGTCAGTTAGATTTGCTTTGATGTCTTGCACAACGATAACCTCATGAGATCGAGGCGTTGCAGTTTATTTGTATATCTGTGGTCTGCAAACTACACAGCCTGAATCTAACAGGATGTAAAATATTTCTGTGACTTCCTGTATGTTCATTTGAAGGTTGCTCCATTGTTTTCATGTCTCGTGATGTTGCCTCCTCCAGGGGGCGCTCTCCTCCCGTCCCTGCTGTCAGACACAGAGTTCAGAGTCAGCAGGCCCCGCCCTCCTCTACCCCTCCTCCTCCAGTCCTGGAGTTCATCCCTTACCTCCGGACTGATGAAGTCTTCAAGTTGGATCCACTGGAGCCTGCTGACACCCCCCCACCGCACACACACACAGGTTAGACACACACACACACACACAGGCTAATGTGTCATTTTTGGAGCACAAATCCCAAATATTCTCTAAAATCAGCGAGTGAAACTTGAAGATTTGCTGCTTTGTCGTATGTGACAGTAAACAGATGTTAACGTGGGCTCTGAGAAATTGTAAATCCAATTTTTTCCCAGTTTATCTATAAACTAACTGACAATTTAAGTTTTATGGTATTTTCATCAACAGACTTTATTAGGAACAGGACTTTAATTCCTTTTGCACAAAACTCAGATGGGAAATCAAATTGTTTATTTAAACCATTATGAATATTACTTTAAGCTATTGAATAACATATTAATTACAAATCATTTATTTGATCATTTGGTGCTCATAGTTTCTGTAAAATAAACTGAA